TAAATTACCAATTCCGTCCGTGACAAAATCAAATTCTGCAAAAATTCCGTGCATTAAAAATTGCCTTTTCTGCGCATTTTCTGTGATAAATATTTAAAGATTCTGTGCTAGTTATATGAAAAATATATATATTCTGCGATTACAATAAAATAATAAAGATTTAATCACGAATTATACAACAAATTTAAACATTTTAAAGAGTTATCTGATAAATTTTGCCGATTGCTATCTAGAATTATCCAACTTGATTTATTCCACTAATATTTTTTTATATGAGTGGACATACAAAAAATCAAAAAAAAAACAATAAGTGACGAAATTGTGAAAATCGAAAAAAAAGTTTCCTTTTACCTGTTGCTTTCTTAATCTATGTAAAATTCCGCCCACTAAATCTGATATCAATAATACTGTATCTGAAAATTTATAAATAAATAGGGTCGTAAATTTTTTGCTCTCACGTTATTCATTCATGTGTTTTGATTGGTCAAAGATCACGAGATTAAAGAAAAATTCGTATTCTGTGAGAATTCCGAAGCACTTTCCGTGTTCACAACCCAATTCCGTGATTTCTGCGGCATTCCGTGAAACTCAGAAAATCATCGTCCCTGGTCGGAATTAGTCCGAATTAGATATCCACGAATACGTATGTCTTAACGTTGATTGATGTATTGGTACCAATTGGAGATTAAGGAAACCTTATTTGTAAATCTAGGGTAGCTAAATAACGGGTCTCTATCATTTTCCACAAAAAATTGACCGGAACTAACACTAACCCTAACCTAATGCGGGCTAACTTGTCGGAATTTGGGGGAAGTGGCTGTCGGGGAAAATGATAGGATCCGTTAAATAACGATAAGGTCCAATTGCAGATCTCAAATACGTTTAAACCCATCTCGAATTAGACTTTTTTTTTTGACTTTTTAAAAAAAAACAAAAAAATGTTAAAACTTAAACAAGATTCAAATACTGAATTTAAAAAAAGGTTTATATTTTTTGAGAAATTATCCGACTTAATTACCTGGGTTCCAGGTAACGATGATGTTAATATTTCTCGAGTGACACTTAAGCAACGACCTGAGTGGAGAAGAGCGAAGTCTGCGGACGAACAACATAAAAGAGATTTAAGAATCAATGTTATTAATGATAACTTTGAAGGTAAACGATAATTTATTAAAGATTTTTATTTATACTTAGTAAAATTTTTTATATATTGATTACAGAATTTCATGATTACTTCAAAT